TCTGTTAGGTGTTATTTCTTGAATAGGAATATTGAGTAACCTTTAGAAATTATTTTATTGATCTCATGTCCATTTTGTATATCTTTTAGAAACTGTTCAATTGTAGAAGTGTTTTTAATTATTTCTATATCTTTATGTGTTGTGAGGAAATGTCGGAGTTGTAAGTATCTAAAAAATCCATAATTTGGGAGCGAAAACTCATTTCCTAATTGTTTAAGTGATTTAAGTGCATCATTATGGAACATTTGAGTCCATATTGTGACCATTTTTTGAACTCAATATCAGTATGAGATGGTATGAAATCCTTAAGGTATCCGATACTGGCTAGGGACGAAATATTCTTTGACATACCCAGCGATGTTTGTGAAATATAATAGTTTTATTTGTATTTTTTCATACATCATACATAATATGTGCTGGTTATTTTAGTTTATGTCTGAGCTAAACATGATTGTTTTTTAAATACACTGTATTTTGTATATTTGCGTGGGTTTCCTCCGGGTGCTCCGGTTCCCCCCACAGTCCAGAGACATGCGGTACAGGTGAATTGAATGAGCTAAATTGGCTGTGGTGTGAATGTGAGAGTGTATGAGTCTTTCCCAGTGTTGGGTTGCAGCTGGAAGGGCATCCTCTGCGTAAAACGTATTCTGAATGAGTTGGCGGTTCATTCCACTGTGTGACCCCTGATTAATAAAGGGACTAAGTCGAAAAGAAAATGAATGAATGTATTCTGTATATAGTTAATCACAGAAAGTTGTACATTGAAATTTAATACCTAAAAGTAAGTATAATGTCATGCCTAAATGAATATGTCATGATTTACTCATCCTTTACTTGTCTCAAACCGGAGTTTCTTTCTTCTGTCAAACACAAAAGAAGTTATTTTAAATAATGCTGAAAACAGGTAACCATTGACTTCCATTTGTTTTTCCTACTATGGAAGTAAAAGGTTAAAGGTTTTCAGCATTCTTCAAAATATCTTCTTTAGTGTTCAACAGAAGAAAGAAACTCATAAAAGTTTACAACCAATTGAGGGAAAGTAAATAGTGGGTAAATCTTCATTCTTTAATGTAATGTAATGTACTCTGTTAGTGTTTTTTATACAGGAGTTTGTGTTTATTGCAATGTCAACATGATCATTTGTATTTTCACATTCACTTCAGCATTTACTGATGAGTATGGCCAGACAGAATATGCAGACATTTTTTTTTGCTATTTCTGCTGAGAATTTAGTAAAGAATCAGTGGATTTATGCGGAATGATTTTAGGAGTATCATAACTGAAAACTGTATATGTGAAATAAAAGTAATACCTTTTTAATTTTTATTTATTGTTTACAATGCAAATCCAATTAGAGAGCTTATTTGGTAAACAAAGAAAGTCTTTCGTTTAATATCTCGACTAAAAGACAGAACATATGACTTTACACACTGTATTGTAAATAAATTAATGAACATTTTATTATCACTGTTATATCATAAAATATGAATGAAATTATTTTAAAAACTGAATCAATATAAATTTACACACACTTACACAAGTAAATACATGATGGACTAAAAATTTGTGCAGCATCCGTGTGGGGCTACTGATGAGCAAGACGCGACTGTTGATTCATTCATTTGTTCATTTCCTTTTCGGCTTAGTCCCTTCGTTAATCCAGGGTCGCCACAGCGGAATGAACCGCCACACGCGAATGTATGTAATGTGATTTTTCTGATGCTCAATTCTTCAGAATCTTTTTGCTGCTCATGAGACTCCAGAAGTTTCCTCCAGTAAACACAGAGATGAAGCTAGAGTGAAACCTGCGCTGCTGAATCTGCATGACCTCTCAAAACCAGCGTCCTCTTTCACTTTCACTCAGGATTTACAGGTAACTCTATGGGCCCTGTTATCCCCCTGCACAGCTGGCGTCACAAGTCTACTTTGCTAGTTTTAGCCTGACACAAGTGTCATTTTCACCTTACTCAAACAGTAAATGCATATATGTGCTCATGGGGGCAGTGTTGGGGCAAATGCATCACAAGTATTCAAAAGAAGGTAATGATTCGCACTCAATTGCTTCATACTGTTTTTATTTTTACTTTTTCTTACATTTTACGGGTGATAACAGACAAACAGACGTTTCGGCACAAAGCCTTCCTCAGTGTGTGAGGATCACAAGTAACACAAGTTACATAATAACATTACTTTCATAGGAAACAAGTAAAGCATTGCTTAAAAATAATGAAATTTAATCAAATTGAATTGTTTAATCTAATTGAATTGAGTTGATTTAAATCGAATTGAATCAAATTGGTTGAAGTGAATTGAGTTGTTGAATTAAATCGTATTTAATCGAATCAAATCTAATTGAATTGAGTTCAGTTGAATTTAATAAAATTCAGTTCATTTGAATTCAAATTTTAAAAAATCCACATAAATTTAGTTGAATTGAATTAAATCAAATTGAGTTGAGCTGAATTCAGTCGAATCAAATACAATTAAATTTAGTTGAATTGAATTGAATAAAATTGCGTTGAGCTGAATTTAATTGAATGAAATTGAGTTTAATTGAATTTAATCGAGTTAAGATGAATTCTATCAAATATAATCAAATTAATTT